CCCCCCCGGGGGGGGGGGGGACCCGACCCCCCGCCCCACCCCAACCAGGGCCACCGTTCCCTTGCCCCCCCCCCCCCGTATGAAATGTCTCCAACGAATCCACGTGGCTACTTAGGTTTCTGAAGCTCTCCCTTCTCCACCACCACAAAAAGGGCCAGGGTGCCAGCTGCTCCTCTTGCATCTGTTTTGTCCTTAGCAAACTTTCTGGGTCAGCCATGTGGCAGAAAGAGCCAAAATTGCAAGGTGGGGGGGGACAGCAGGGACGAAGGGCACCCTGGGGCTCAGGGGGCAGAACCAGACCTGATTCAAAGCACTGGCGCTTTCCTGGGGTGAACCAGGCACCCCCAGGGCTCCCGACCCGCTTTGCCAAACCTCCCAGCATTGCCCTCCCAAGCGCCTCTTCCCGACACCCTCATGAGCAGCTCCCGGCAGGGCGTGGGCCTCGTTGGGACAGGCCTGGGTCTCCTGCTACTCACCCACGGGGCTTGGACAGGCACCATTCGTGTTGCCGAGCTCTCCTCCGAGCATCGCCCCTAGGAAGAAGCCACAGGCAGAGGGGGTCAGGTTTCATCTGGAGCAACATTCAGACATGACGGTGCTGCCAGAGACCTCTCCTGCTCCTCGGAGCCAGGCAAGTGGCAGTTGACCGAGGCCCCCCTTTCCGGGGGGGCGGTCATGGCAGGACGACTGCACCTCCCTTCAGTCCTCAAGCTCACGTTCCCCAAAACTGTGCCCTGGAGCCAGGCATCCTATGGGACGCATCTACACGCGAAAACACGTGTGGACCCCGGATCCTCTTTCATTACAACGCCAGAGAGAGAGAGAGAGAGAGCGAGAGAGACCGTGAATTGTGACATTAAAGCAGCTTCTCCTTGCTGAGGGGAAACAGAGGTTCTGCCACTTCTCCTCAAAAAGCAGGTTAACCCAATGGAACGAAGAGGAGAAGGGCAGAGGTGCTGCCCTCCCTGTCCCTGCCGGGACTGACGAACAGCCTAAGGCTCCCGTCAGAGACTCAGCAGGGGAGGGAACGTCTACCACCACCACCACGGTTCCAGCTCAACATGGCAGAAGGCAGAAGTTGATGGCAGATGGGACAGCAGAGACCACCCTTTTGAAATGCCAGTCAACTGCGTGTGCAAGAACGTTGTGGGAGGGTGTGCCGCTTGGGTCCTTGCACAAGCATAAGCCAGGAACGTGAATGAGACGCTTCTGGTGTGAAGGGGAAAGGTCTCGTCTCCAACCCCCCAAACGAGAGAAAGTCTGCAGGCCTCACTAAAAAGCTGCAATTCCACGTCTACCCACAATGGAAGAATCACCAGTGGATTCTGACGCTTCCGTGTAGCTAAGGTGAACGTTTAGATGCAGGCCTATTTCCCCTTGTGCCCACTGTGGTTTCCCCAGCACTGAATTCTGGACTGTGGAGACGCTTTGGGCAAGAGCTCGTCCACCGATCCTCCGCCAGCCTTTGCCTGAAAGTAGCAAAGCCTTCTCTATTGCTCTTCGCTTTCTCTTTTCTCTTTTAGAGATGCGACGCTTCATTTACGTCGCTTAAAGGAACATTTTCAAAAGGCGCCGAAGAGGAGAGAAGGCTGTACCTGCGCTGGCGGGCCTCTGCGGGAGCGCTGGGGAGACGGTGTTCCGCTGGAGGGCCGGTTGTTGCGGGGACAGCAATCGAGGGTCGGCCAACGAGGAAGTCACTAGCGATGGGGTCACTAACGAGCCCCCGGGGTTGCTGAATGGCAGGGCGTTCTGGTTGGTCACTGGCACCGTAACAGGCATGGCAAAATTGGGAGCAGGAACGGAGGACTGGAGAGACAACGGACAGAAAAGCATGATTAACTCTGGGAACAGGGAGGACATGCTCCACTGACACTGGATCACGCCACAAGGGTGCATGGGAACCTGAGCTTTCCAGGATCAGCCACACAGGAACAAGAGGATGTCTTAGCAATACATCAGAGACTTCGGATTACAAGGAGTCAGCAGGGGTTGAGCCCCCAGACCAACGTCCACCCTAACCCACAGATCATGGCGATGCTGCGGACCGCGTAGGCTTGGAGGCACGCGAAATCTCTGACTAAATCCCCCATTAAGTCCTCAGGGAAACATCTGTCCAGCCCCAGGCTCCTGTTTGGTGGATCCAAAGCTGGTGGAGCAACTCTGCCAAACAGGGGCTCATCCCTCAGACAAAGCCTGAGAGAGGGCATGAAACTAATAAGATGAAATTAATCAGAGAGCAAGAATAATTCTAAAAGTCAACGGCAGAAATAGAGGGAGGGAGAATTGGCTTCACAGCATACAGGTAAGAAGGCGTTAGCGATCTCAGTCGGACACAAACTGGACATGAACCGGCACAAAGAAGGCAGTAATGGCAATGCTCACTCAGCCCCACACTCAGCTGGTCAGGCACCCTCTGCATCTTACAGCCCACTCCAGCGATGCGTTTGGGTACTGGTAAGGGGGGCATGTTGAGAGAAGAGCAAGCAGGACAGTGTAGGGCCTGGAAACCAAACCTTAGGGCAACCAGGGTTTTTTCATCCTTGTTGTTGTTGGTCACAGTCAGCCAGCTGTTTAGAATGGGTTTGGCATTTTCATCCACCTATCGAGTCCTTCCCAAGGACCTGGGATAGGCAGGTGTTGTTTGATGGCGTTAAAGATACCATCACAGGATAGAAACTGTTCCAAGTATAGCTGCCTTTTGCAACTGACCGATGGCGATTTTGTCAATGCCGATGGTCTTCAGGTGGTGCTCCAGATGTTTTGGGATTGCACCTAAGGTGCCTGTTACTGTTGGTACTCTCTTTGCTTTCTTTTGCCACAGTTGTTCTGCTTCTGTTTGCAGGTCTTTATATTTTGTGATTTTCTCCAGGTCTTTCTCTTCTATCCTGCTGTCTCCAGGTATTGCAATGTCCACTATCCAGGCTTTCTGTCTTTCTTATCAACAATTATTAAGCCTGGGGTGTTGTGGGGCAGGTGTTCTAAAGCCCCAGGGCAGTTTAGCATCTTCGTTTTCTATTACTTTGTTTTGTGGTCCCACCAGTTCTTGCTTGCAGGCAAATGGTATTTCTT